AATTCTCCTCTATGTCATTTCAGTAGTCACATTAAAATCCCCTAAGGCAGAAACAATGACTTGCACTTCCTTAAGTGCCCAGGGCATTGAAAAAACAACTTGCACATAGAAGGTTTTTGGTAACAAATTGTTGAGGTAATACAAGAGACAAATGCTGAGGAAAATTTCCATGTCTCTCTCATAATATATAAACCTTAGAAAATTCTGCTAAAGAGAATTTTCTCCTGGCATTTTCATCTTCAATTGGAGGGTAAACAATAGAAATTCAGTATTGACAATCAGATGGTAACAAAACTTTTAAAAAAATGGAAAAGTTACAGTATTTCAGTATTTTTAAATACACAATTCTTCTCAATAGGGTAGCATTTTACATAACATAAAATATTCCTGAGGCATCAATACTTAGAAGCGAGGAAAAAATCTGCCCTCTTTTTCCTTTTAGGAAGAAAAATATTTTTAGTTTCACCCTCAAGATTCTTCTTGAATTAAAGCTTAAGAACATTCTGAATGAAAGCCAGGCATTCCCCACATCAGTCATTTTTTCATATTAACCTTGTTAATCACTAGGCAGCTTCATTGTAAAAGGGGGTAGTGAATATTATAAGATGCAAATAAGCAAATGCAGGCAATGGAGACTGTTTTGCTGACAGTCACGCTTTTTGATAGGTCAAACCGAAACCAGGCCTGCAATGCAGGTATGGCCAGCTGTGCTTCCCATAGACTTGCTGAATCATCATAACAAGCCCGTGTTTATAGAGCTCTTTACCTGGAGGAACACCCAGAGGTCTCTGTCAATATCTTTTAAACCTGATGTCCTCTGGAAACTGTAAGAAACCAAGATGATTCCCATTTTTCAAACTGAGAAAATGAGGTAGAGAAGGACAAACTCACTCCTTCTGGAAACTGATAACCGAGTTGTATTGATTTCCAAATGTTTTGGTTTCCAGTGACAGTCTTTAGAGAGCCTACCTGTCTCCAATTTGGCTCCTCACTAATTCTCTAAAAGTGACAGTGCCTTCTTCCCACCTAAGGGCTACTAGTCAAGTCTCAGTTCCTCAGTTTCTCTCCTAAACTTGATATTGCTGAACCCCAGAGACTCCTTCCAAGACCTTTTTTATCCTCCACCACTGGAGAATGGTTTTTCTCGATTGTCTATCACTGTTACCTCTATCTCCATTTAATGTATGCAGAAGTCCTCTGTTTCCAGTTTAAGCATTTACCTTTTCTTCTTTTATTCCCTACCTTCAGTGTTCATTCAAATGCTAATGATTGGTTTATTTCATCTACTGTGTGTCAGGCACTATTCTAGGTTCTTGAGATGAATACTACTGAACAAAATAGATGGAGCTCCCTGCCCTCATAGAGTTGACATTTTATCCAAAGGAAGGCAAACAATAAATACTGAACATAACAGATGGTAGATCATTTTTATAAAGTAATACAAGAGAAAAAATAAGTAATAGAGTGAAATGCTTGGTCTTTGACCCCATCTTGTTTAAGCCTGTGTTGTTCCCATGGCCTCCAGGAGAATAGCTCCCACTTTAGACATGCTAATTATGAGAGGAATTCTGCTTAGGGCTTGAGTTTTTATGAAAACATCCCCTCCCATTTTCCCTTACCTTAACATAAAAGAAGTCTGATCTCTGTATTTACTTACAAAGGATTTGAGGATTAGGATTCCCCATTTTCTCAGTTGGCACCTTCTCAATCAATAAACCTTTCCTTACTCCAAATTCTAACATTTTGAGTTTGGGCCTTTCGAAGCACTGTGCATGCAGAGCTTGGACTGGTAATGATTATAGAGCAGAATAAAAGGAACTAGAAGTAATGACAGCGAGGCATCATTTTTAACAGGATTAGCTGGATAGGTCTCATTGGGAAAGTAAGACTTCAGCCAAGAATTGAAAGATACCTGGGAAGAGTACTCTAGGCAGTGGAGCCAGGCAGTGCACAGCCTCTGAAACAGGGGCTGAATCATCATAACAAGCACGTGTTTATAGAGCTCTTTACCTGGAGGAACACCCAGGTAAAGTGCTCTGCTGGTGTGTTTGCAGAACAGGGAAGAAGCTGAGACAGGCCAGTAAACCAGGACAAGTAGAATAGGGAAACTGAGATAGACAGCTGAACAAACTGGCAGAGAAATTTACAGCAGTACAGAGGGTCACCTTCTTAGAGATAACATCTAGGCCTCAGTTGTATTTCAGTTCCAGGCCTAGAAAAGTGGAAAAACCAGGTGGGTGACACCAGGACCAGCTGCAATGACTAATAACCCCCTGCTCTGACACTGACCAGTCAATGAGACCATGACCCCGAAGGGGCATACCTAGAAAACTAAAGAATATTCTGCTGAAACCCTCTCCTGAGACCTCCCCTGTGGGGAAGCATGGGACTTGGTTGGAAAGTCTGTAAGGAGGATTCTCTGAAAGGTCGGGGGCCTCTAGGGAGACCTTGCCGAAGGCAGCAGACCCTGCCTTGACTTTTCCAAACAAGTCTGAGCCCCCAGGTGTTTTACTAGAATCTTTAAATTTAGCCTTCAAAACATCCTTGCTTAAAGGACATTACAGACGCATGTGTCTTCTCAATAATGCTTATCCTGCTGATGGTATTCAATAATTAATTTTAGTTCAAGCTGTTATTACAAAAACAACTTAAGGAGGCAGAGGAATGGGGCTGTTTGGTTCCTATAACCAAGCAATCCCTTAGCCCTCTTTTTCACAGAAATGTGTCAAAGTAATCCATTCATCTGTCGCTCTGGGTCTGCTGGTCAGCCCCAGCACTCCCTTAAGATTCCTGCCTGCAAGAGAGAGATAAAGCCTCAAGACAAGAGACCCAGTACATGTTACTCTCTGGGGATCATCTCCCAACATTTTCTTTCCCCTCTTTTCCCCCTACTTCTTCCCTCACAGGCATGCATTTCCTAAACTCTCAGGGACTCCATGAGACTTGCAACCAGGGGAGCAATGGGCAGCAGCAGCTCATCCCAGCCTAATCCTCTGATCCTGGCCCTAAGGGCCCTTTTCTCTGACTTCCCAGAGAGCTAAGGCAGCCCAGCTTAGGCTCTCCTGATGCTTCTTTTATGCTAAGTTCTTCTTGTTTTAGAGTCCCCAGCTTTAACATATGCTCCTTCATAGTCACCTGGACTCACATTGTGAAATGTTTCTTGAACAAAGTCAAGAACCCACACACTACTGGCTGGGCCTATGCAGATCTGCCAAGAGCCAGAGCTTTCCTTGGACACTCAAACTCTAAGAAGTCTAGGAGAAGAGACATGGCCACCCCAGGAGACTGAAAAGAGAAATCTGGTGATGTGGAAAGAGAGATGAGAAGGTGTGGTATCCTGGAAACATCAAAGCAGAGGGAAGAACCAAATATGCCAAATACTATTGATGGGTCACATGACCTGAGCACTGAGAATTGGGGAGGTCTTTGGGGGCCTAGACAAGAGCAGTTTTTGTGAAAGTGGACATGAAAGAATGATTTGTGTGTGTTTGAGAGAAGATGGGAAAAGATAATTTGGACTCAGAGAGTAGAGGCAACTCTTCTGAAGAATTTTGCTACAAAGAGAAGCAAATAATTCAAATAACTGGGGTGGCAGCTGAAGGGGAAATAGAGTCAGGAGAGGGTTAGTTTATGTGGGGTTTTTTTAAGGTGGGAAATATAATAACATCTTTACACAGTGGTGGGATTCATGGGGAGCAGAAGGAGAAATTGATATTGAAGATGTAGAAAACTGCTGGAGAGATGTTTCTCAGTAAAAGGGAGAGAATGGGAATCAATACACATGGGAAAGGATTGTCTCAGAGAGGAGCAGATGGGTGGTTCATCCATGGAGGCAAGAAGAAGGTATTTTCAGGTGGAGCTAAAGGCCAACCTTAATGTCCAAATACTTAAGAACATCTGCATTCCAATGTCAAAAGTTACATATCAAAATAACATCAGACTCATAGTTTATTATTTTTCTAGGCTTTCTCTCCTCTCCAGTGCATTGACCATATTATATCATTTATGAAGGTGCCTTATTATTATCTGAATAGATCTATCATTGGTGGGCAGTCTTATAACTGGGACATGTATCCTGGTTGTACAATATGTTTAGGTAATATTTTAGGAGACATGATAATAATGGAATTATTTTTTCAGATCCTTATTTTGCATAGATTCTTTTTCCTTTAGCCTGAAATGACACCCTCACTTCATATCCTCTATTCACATTTGCCCATCCCATCTCCCACTTAATTTTTTTTAATTTTGATATATTTTTATTGGTTTCAGAGAGAGGAAGTGAGAAGGTGAGACAGATAGAAACATCAATGATGACAGAAAATCATTGATCAGCTGCCTCTTGTGCACCCCTTACTGGGGATCAAGCTTGCAACCAGGGCATGTGTTCTGACCAGGAATCAAACCATGACACTCTTGGTTCATGGGTTGATACTCAACCACTGAGTCATACCAGGCAGGCTCATCACCCATTTTACGAAAGAGAGTCATACACACCTATCTTGACTAGACTGGAGTCTGAGGTGAGACTCTGAGCACTGAACAAAGTAACAGCATGACAATCTGAGTCCTTTGACAACAAGCAAAGAAAGGTTAGGAAAGATATACTAAGGAGAAGCACCTTATTGCATACAGATGACAAACACATTTATAACAAAGTCCAGTGCCTATGTATCTACCTACCAACCCACTTTAGGATAGAACTCAGAATCAACATGAAAATCATAGAGGCATGGCTAGTTGAAGTAAAAAAACAAGTCAAATTTCTTTTCTGTCAGAAAGCGAGTCTGTGAGGATTGGCTCATTCTATTAGATTATCTGATAGTCATTTATATGAATGCAATGGGAAAAATCTTCAACTCTAAGGATTTAACAAAACTATGCTTAGTACAAATATACCACGGTACACATTATAGTGGATAGTTCATCCATCCAATTGTTAAACTTGTAATACAATTACCATTTTCAACTTAAACATGTGAGGAAGTACATACATAGCTTTTCCAAATATCTTTAGGGGCCATGGGAACATAAATGTTTGAAGATCCCTAGATTCGCTGATCCTGTCATCAGAATGTTTTTGTATTTTTCCTTTCATGAAGAATGCTCACTGGACTGCCTGGAAAAATAAAACAGAGTGAGGACTTCACTAAATGTTCAGAAAAGGTTGTATCACTACTTCTGTGTCTACTTGATAATAAAAGTTTGGACACAGTGGAATTTGGCCTGTGAGTTGCTTTCATGCTGCTTATCACTGGTGGTAACATCACTGGGAAGGAAACCCATAGTCCCTCCTGCTATCAGTCACTGCAAGCTGCAGAACCTGACAAGTGTGAACAGCCCAAGTGGTCTTAATTCCTTCACATCAGTCTCAGCATGCATGTGCAGATGGGGACCTGCATTAGGAAGTGGTTCGGTTTTGTTCACTGCTATGTCCTTGTTGTCATCAAGTGAATATTCATCAGAGGGTATCATCCACTATGCTTTCTCCAACACAAAGGCTCCAGGTTTCCACAGAATTTCTAGTAACATAAAGAGTTCAGTTTACTCTGTACCACTCTACTGCCCCCCAAAAGTACTTCACATCCCCAAATGATAACACTAAAAATATTCTTATAATAAGGCATTTTTCACAAGGGGGTGATAGCTAAATGAAAATAAAACAAACCCCTCAGCAATTTTATTCAACATAGAGAAAAACATACCCAACTGAGAAAATTGAATGAATTTTGTATCAAATTCATTTTTATGTCTAATTGTTATAATAATGAATTTACAAAAAGATGTGCTCATCAAAAACAAATAAAAAAAACATCTTGAGAAACCACATATAAAGCACAATGAGAATTTAAGCTTTTAAAAGTTGTCGTGGGACTTTCTGTGGAAGGAGATGTCCAGTGATCATTCATTCTCTGGTGCAAAAGCCAGAAATAAAAAGGAACAGAAGTAAGGATCAAAGGGTAACAGGACCATTATGGAGAGGACACCTCTACTGTTCATTCACATTCTAAGCAATGAAATGAAGCCTCCAGTGCTGGGTCCAGTGTCTGCTAGACTAGGAGCACAGGTTTGTGGAGTGGCTACTGATCCCTGTCCAAGACATAGAGACAATTACCCTGAGGTCTTTCTATTTGTTTTTCCTTATGTGAAACGGCAGCCAAGAGCTACATGAAACATTCACCAGCATCATTGTAATATCCTGAAAAAGCCAAAGGGAATAAGAAATAACAAATCAGAAGCACTTCAAAAGGAAGGAAATGTAATATGTGAAGTTATTCGTCATTACGCAAATAAACACATGAATGAAGAGAACATATATTGGGTGAAGTCTTTGCCTCTAATTTTAAAACATACCTAGTTTGGTGGAACACAGTTAACATTCTATTCTTCATGCAGTTCAAAGGCCATTCAAGCTTGGGAAAAATAGTGAAAAAGTACTCATGAAGTACTTCTGCTCACTCTTTAACTTAGGACATTCCAGCAAGCAAATATTTAATTAACAAATCATGGTATCTGGTGCTGTAAGAGAGGTAACAACATGTTCATTTTGGTTTCTAGCCTCGTGGAGTTTACAATCCGATAGGAGAGACAAGTTATGCTACAATGAGATCATTAAGTGACTTCCCTTTGCTTTTAAAATAAAACCCATATTCTCTATGTGATCCTTGGGGATATGTGCTATGCCCACAGCCCCTTATCTCTTTGCTTCTATGCATGCTGTTCCCATATCTCTGAAATATGTCTTTTCCCTCTCTTTGCTTAGATTAATCCAAACCACCCTTTGATCTCAGTTTAGAGGTAACTTTCTCAAAAAGGACTAGCCTGATACTGAAAATCAGATTGGACACTTCTGTAAATCTTCCTCAGTGCATCCCATTCACAACATACTTGGTTTTGTATCTATTCAAACATATGGTCTGTGCCTCTTCTGTTTCACTTTAAATTTCATGAGAGAGAAAACGAAGTCTGTTCTGTTCAACCTTGGCTATCATTCCCAGCCCATAGTAGACACTCAATAAATAGGGCTTAATTTATAAGCAAATGCATTTTAAAATATGAATTTAAACAACCTATATAGTAAAATTACCTTTATGTCATCATAATTCTATGCAGGTAAATGTTATCATTCTTGATGTGTACAGATAGTGAAACTGGGGCTGAGAGAGGTCTAATTAATAACTGGATTCTGGGAAAATGCTCTTCCCATAGCTCCATAAAGATGTAAGTATCTTGACATAATATATCTGGGTACATCAATCCTGGAGGAGAGGAAGCCTATGAGGCATGGATGGTCAAGAAGAGTTAAGCAGGATTTACTCTGCTTCTAGGTGCCACGTCCTCCATCCTGTGCACCTGGAGATGGACTTGGAGATGAAAAGAGACGGAATTTAAAGAACATGCTCAGACACTAACTAGGTGAGTTTCCAAGAAGCCTTGGGTTTCTGCTCATTTGTAAAATGAAAAGGCTAACAGTGGCCATCATGGTGGAATGCTGGACAGTGATGAAGGCCAGTTTCCTAATTCCATCCACTTTGATCTGAAGTTAGGACAATCCCCAAAGCCATGTCTGGAATCTTCACAATGGACCAGACTTCCTCCCATATGGTGTGGCTGAAGGCATGCTCTGGATTATTGCATGATAGGACACAAGCATCAACAGCTGTCTTCTCTGGAAATAGGGCAAAGAGCTATAACTTCAAATGACAAGCATGTCCCCTTCCATGTATGACTCCCTCAATGCTTGGGGAATTTTTATTTTAACATTTCTAATTCCAGCTTTACCTTGAGAAGTAAAAGTGGTTTAAAGAGAAGTATTAATATTTGTGCAACAGTTAATACAATTGCCATGGATTCTAAAATACAGATATTAAATGGAGGAGGGTGAAATTTTGTAAAATCCTCTTCTTTGGCTGCTTTTATGAAAACTGCTTTTTCCTATAAAAGAGGAAATGTTTTTTGTGAAATTATCAAGCTACCTAGTCATTGTCACAACCTTGCAATGCCAAAATTGAAGGATTTATTGAATAACGAGACAAGAATTGAACATTTAATTTTGCTTTATGCTCACCCATCAAAAATGTCATTCTCTGTTTATGGAAACAGAATTCATCACTCAAATTTTAATTAAAATCTTGCCTCCAGTACAAGATCATCCACCCAATGACACCAGCTAGTGAACTTGCTCTCTCCAACTCATCTATAAGGCTAATTTGTATTATTAATTATCAGTTTTGTTTAATAAAGACTGATCCTATCTAGAGGCTATGCTCCTGGAGGGCAGAATAACCCATTTAGAGAAATCTGGTTGTCATGGTTATCTTCTTCATTCTTGACTATAGTGTGATTTGAGTCTGGGGCTCTCCTTATCTCTTACCTATCTTACCCACACGCACAGCTACACATGCACACACCCTTCTGAGCCACCTTACCAAAAACCAGTTGGACAAAACTCTATTCAATGGGTTAGACTTTTAGGCCTTGGCTCTACTAGTAGGCAGTGTCACTGAACCTTAATGGCAGCTCGCAGGCATTCTTCAGCCACTCCTTACTTTCTCTTTTCAGTGAAGTCTCTTTGGTGGGCGGCCTGCTCACTTGGCATTTATGGATGAGAAGATCTGCAGACGAAGCCTGGCCTCTCAGGGACAGCTCACCGTGATGTCTTCTATGGTGAGTGTCAGCATGAAGCCTGGTTTCAGGGAAGAAAGAATAGGAAAGAAAAAGCCTTGCTTAGATCTCCTAACTTTGCTTAATCATTAACCCACATTATTGAATTTAGCATTCACCAAATATTAGAGGGAATCAGGGGCTTGCCCAGCTATGTGTAAAATACTGTTTTGTTTTGCTTTCAGCTGTAGACTGTGAGTGTGGCAACCTCAGTGGAGATCTTCAGTGAAGAGGAGCAAGGAACAATGTTGCCTTCAAAGCCCACCCAAAACTGCTGCAAACTTCTACATCAGTGGTTGGCAAACTTCGGCTCATGAGCCACATGCGGCTCTTTGGCCCCTTGAGTGTGGCTCTTCCACAAAATACCACCTTCTGCGCATGGGCCACGAAGTTTTAATCGCACTGTACGTGCGCGCCCGCACGTGGTATT